AAAACTCATCAGGTCTGGCAGCGTCTGTAGAGAGAAAGCAGAGTCAGTGTTTTTGATCAGTGTCTCCTCTTCAGATCTGTGTCAAGTACTTTGGTCAGGTCAATGAACGCATTAAAGCATTTTTCGATATTTTTCCTGCAGTTGTCTGGCAGAAGTATTGTTAACCATTCTTCTGGAATGTCTAAAGCCACACTTTGTTTCTGGGTGGACTTTCTTTGTTATTAGAATGGAACCAAACTTTGAAGACCCAAATTGGAATACCATCAGTGCTACAGATTTTGTCGTTTTCCAACCATTTGATTGCTTGTTGCAACTCTCCCATTTGATAGTGGTTCACCCATCAATTCTTCCAGTGGGCACTGGGGATTACCTGGAGAGTATCTGTAGCCACTAATAGATTCACAGTATTGGAGTTGTTGAAAATGCCCTTTCCATTATTGACGGTTATCATTGTCATCCTCAAGAACCAAAATACCATCCATTGAGTGAAGGGGTATTTTGCCAATTGACCTGTATCTATAGATGGCCCTAGTAGCTTCAAAGAAGCTATGCGCGCCATGATGGTCAATGCTTTGTTTATCTTCCACATTTGTTTTCTGGGCAACAACTCACAGCGGTTGGAATGCTGCGTTCTTGCTTTGCGACCTTGTATTTTTCACGGATTTTGTTTTCTTGGAGGTCACATGTTTCAGTATCACTTTTGTCGAACCAGTCCCGATGAAGACAGTGCTTGATCCCATTGGTCTAGGCACTGGATTCTGGTACAGCTGACTTAATTTTAGATCAGAGGGATCAATAAAATTGGATGTGTGAAGATATTCCAGATTGGTCATGAAATGCACTTGAATTTCCCTTCTTCAATTTGGCTGCTTTAAGGCTGAGATATTGCAGTTCTTCGTCTTGGACTTTTGGATTTATGATGTCTTAATGCTGGTTGGATGTTCTTCATCAATCAAACTGATTCATTCAGCAACCTGTGTAAGTGTTTCTTGATTCTCACAGCTTGCAACATAAACCACAATAGTATTTCCAGTCATAATGTGGGATGGATGGTCCTGTAGGACTTTGGCAAACACTGCTGCCATTCCTGTGAGAAGAATAATGAGTATATCTAAAATGAGTAAAATGAAGATAAATAGTGTCAGGTGTCATCAGTATAAGTGTAAAAATTAATGTTGTGCTTTTAGGTGATGTCATTGAATGGCAGCCTGGAAATATGTAAGAACAGGGGCCAAGGATACACCTTTGGAGAATACTAGAGCAAGGATATGAAGAACCTGGCAAGAATTGGCTCAATTGAATTGCATACATCTGTGCTGTACAATGTGTATTCCTGTTCAAACTATCATTTAGCAAGCCATTGTTTCAAGACCGTCTAACATATGAAAACCTAGCCAACCACAAAATATTAATGTGTCTGAATTGTAGTTATTGTTGCTCCAGCACCCAATGTCGTAGAGTGAAAACTTCCTTTTTCAGCATAGTCTTATATATTTGGCAAACTTTCTATCTAATTAATTCCTTGAGGGATAGTGTTATGCAATGACAACCAAAGGCTGGGTTACAATGGTGGTTCTCATAGTCAGCTAAGAACCAGATGGGTGACACTGTTGGTGGCAATTTGGTAGCTGGTTATCTAGCTCTAGCTCTGGCCCTGGCCCAGAAAGACCTAACAAGACAGAGAAAGACATGTCAATTGCAGAGGCTTTTCATGATATTCTGTTCAAGTTGCAGCATGTCAATAGGAAAACACTCAAATCTAATTAACTAACTCTGCTATTACATCGTTAACAGTATCACATTCTATTTTAAAAAAAACTTTGAAAATCGTAATGCCTCAGGCGAATCCTTGTGCCTCCAAACAGCTACAAAACCTTGATCCTTCATTACTGAAGTTTGTCACTAGTTTAATTTTGCTTAAATATTTATTACATAAATTATTTTTAGTGTTGCATCTTGTTACATTACTTCTGTCCAGTTTGCCTGACTCTAATTAACTGAATTGAATAACATAGGATTATGTTATTATGTTGGCATCTTCTAGTCCTCTGTTACAACTACCATATTCAAAGAATTTTGAAACATTCTAGTTAGTACTTCTGTTTTCTCCTCTGACTTTCTAGGATGTATGTCTTTTGAAAAAAAGTGCAGTTTTATCTGCAAGTTTCATCAACTTTTTCTGTCAAACTTTCTCCTCTCTGGGAGCAATACTTACTTTTTGCAGTTTCCCCACAAACAAACTTCACCTGCAAACTAAGATCAAACCCCTACCTATATTCTGCGTGGTGAACAATAAAGTTAGTCTTTTCTCCTTCTAATCTACAAGCCTACCAAACACTCAATTCTTTTTGCTCTCCTACTCTGAGCTGTCGCCTACAATTGCCTTGTGTGGAAAAATTCCCAGATAAATTAAACAGAGGAGCTTTATAATTCCTGCTGCTGATCTCCATTGTAATATAACATACTTGGGATTTTCCAGACAGAGCTGTAAACTAATTATCTTTTTCCCTTAAACACAACTATTTGGTTCTGTGATTCATAAAATAATTTATATCTGTAACAGAGTTTCACAAGTTGCTCCCAGAATTTCTAATGTTTAATGTCATTCATGTGGGAACCGCATAAATAATTTAATGACGTAAGTGTAACGTACCAATTTTCATATTAAAAATCTCAAAAAAAGTCACTCATTGTCTAAGTTTTACACTTTCATCCCTGACCTTTAGATAAATATACATTATCTTGTAACTATAATTAACACAATTGTTTGATTTGCATTTACTTCAGGGATCATGTGTCAGTTTCTCAATCAGATGTTTCCATTTATCTTAACACTTGAATTCTTAAAACCAAAAGTTACCTTCTAAAATATAGGAAGTATTAACTAGCTATTCACAACAAACTATCAGAACACAGGAAATAGGAACAGGAGTAGGCCATCTAGTCCCTGAGATTGGCCATTCAATACGATCATAGCTGATCTAACGTTCCTCATGTCCACTTTCCTGCCTACTCAGTCTAATCCTTGAGCACCCGACTGAACAAGAATCTGTCTGTCTCAGCCTTAAATATACACCAGGGCTCTGCCCCCCAAGGCTGTCTGTGACAAGGTGACTGTCCAAAGACAGTCCTCTGACAGAAGAAATTCCACTTCATCTCAGTCTTAAATTGGCACACCCTTTTATTCTCAGACTTTGCCCTCTGGTTGTAGACTCTCACATGAGGGGAAACATCCTCTCAGCATTTACCCTATCAAGCAGCTTAAGAATCCTACATGTTTCAACGAGATCACCTCTCATTTTTCTAAACTCCAATGAGTAGAGTCCTAAACTGTTTAGCCTTTGCTCATAAGACAATCCCTGCATAACAAGTTCACCTTAATGAACTTTTTCTAAACTGCCTCCAATTAAACAATATCTTTCCTTAAATGAGAAAACCAAAATCGCTGACAATGTTTCAGATGTCCTCTCACCAGCACCTTGTGCAGTAGCAGTAACACTTCCCTACTCTAATATTCCAAACCCCTTGAAATAAAGGTCAATAATCCATCTTTTTGTGAAATTACGTATATCTCAAGATGCTATTACTAACTGATGTTAGCATTCTGATTTTAGGTTTATTCTTTATTGAAGCAATTTTCCTTTGAACTTACCTGTCAAACATCCAGTCCTATGCATCCCAAACAGCAAAAAAAAAACCCACCAGCTGATAAACTTAAGTGCAAATTAGGATAAGTTGACTTGGCTTTGAGGGCTGATCCCCATGGTTCAGGACTGACAGGTTGGATACCATTCTGCTAGAAATTCTTTCAGGAATTCTCCACAGCGAGTGGACAGTTGTTTGATTTCATTCTGAGATGTGGACAAGATTGACAAGGTCAATGAGTTACTGATTGTATTTTTGAACAGCTGCAGTCCTTGTCATGTTGCACTCGCTCAGTCATGTTAATTGGGAAATTTAACGAAATTGACCCAGTGACAATTAGGAGCATGCTCTATATATATCCAAATCTCTGATGTGGAAAGACAAGGATTGTGTAAGGCAAATGGAAGTCACACAGTTATAAGAAAGCAAAACATTAAAGAAATTTCAATGTTAAAATAAAAATTTAGATTTAAGCAAAGGGTGATTGAAAGCCAGTGCTAGTCCATGAGAATTGGTGTAAATTCGTGACCTGGTCTCACCCATAGGCTGAGATACAGAATTTTGAATCAATTGAAATTAGAGAATGTAAAGATGGCCAGATGAATACTGAAATGTTGAGTTTGAAGTGTTGAGTCTGAAGGTGATGACAGCATACTAACAATTTCAACATTACACAAGCTGAAGAAAGAGTAAAGATACCAGGATTGAAGCAAGCCAAAACAAACAGAATTCTGAAAAGAGAGGAACGGAGTTAATGTTTCGAGTCCAGTATAACTCTTCTTCAATATGACTCAAAATGTTAACTCTGTTTCTGTCTCCACAGATGCTGCCAGACCTGCTGAGTTTCTGCAGCATTCTGAGTTTGTTTCAGATTTCCAGTTCCTGTGGTATTTTTCTTTTACTGAAGTAAGCTGTGTTGGTTTTGGGTTTGGAAGCTGAGCTTGATGTTGAGTAGGATACAGAGGCATCTTAGTCCTGACATTTTAATTTCAGATTTCCAACATTTGTGCTTCCTCAGTTTTGTAGTAATACTATAATGGCCTAGGTTTATAAACTGAAAATAAGTCTCAATCCAACTGAATGATAATATACTGTGTGTACTTGACAAGCTACAGCCTTGCCCTATAATGATGCAGTGTGAAAGATCAAGTGACGATGTGTTATATAGCATTTAGCAATGATATGTTTACAAATATTGCCAGAAGTGATTGTAAATTTCAAGAACAGCAAATGATAGTTTAAGTTTTAATTTAAAAATGTAATCAAATTACATTGCTTGTGCTTAATTGTTTTGTTGATTTTGTTTGTTTCTTGACTTTGGTACTCAAACATCCATCTTCCTTGTTTTTTGACAGATTCATTCACCCTGGATGTGGCTCTAGTCTCGGCAGCTGTGGTAATTTGTCTTGCTGCAATGGTTGCCATGTGTGGGATCTGCAAATGGTGTCAGCGCAAATTGGTGAGTATATTGTAACAACAGCTTAGTTGAGTACAAAAACATACCATACACTGACAATTATCTCCTTTGTCACCTTGCAGTGAACAGCTGGAGAGATGCACCTATTTCTTCTCTCCATACTTTAGGATTCCAAACAAAGTGTAAACAGCAGTATAGATCAAAAACACTACTTGGCTCATTTTTCTGGTTGCTGACAACAGTTAACTGGAGATTTTTATTTCTCCCTAATTCATCCGTGATTATCTTTGGGAGTTCAATGGATTCAATGAATAAAGCTGTGTACTAATGTTTTTAAAATTCTGACAATAGGATTCATTTTGTTATGCATCATGTGCAAAGGATGAAAGTGGTCCACTTGATCAAAAAAGACCAAATGAGGATGATTTCAGTCAAAGTAATTATGTTTGTATAATTCACCTTGCCTTCATTAATGTAGATATTCTTTTGAAAAAGAACTTTACTCCATTTACTTCACAAACTCAGGATATAGGGTAGGCCTTTTTGGACTGAGATGAGGAGAAATCTTTTCCCTCCGAGAGGGGTGAACCATTGGAACTCTACCACAGATGGTTGTGGAGACCAATTCACTGAATATATTTAAGAAACAAATCAATAGATTTCTACAGACTAAAGTTGTCAACGTATATAGGGAAGGAGCGGAGTATGGAGTTGAGATACAGGATCAGAATAATCACATTGAATGGCAGATCAGGCTTCATAGGCCAAATGATCTCCTCCTATTTTCTATGCATGCACTTTATCAGTGTCATTCAGTTTGTAGCATTTTTGTGCTACACCACAATTTTAACAAATTAACAATGCTGACATTGTAATGTAATGCTGAGGAAAGTCTGCGTTGTTAAAGGCGGTGTTCATTAAATGAGGCACCATTGCAACCCAAAGATTATAGTAATTATTTTCCTCACTTGTCCAGATGTGGGTCAAAAGCAGGATCGCTAGGTTTTCCTGTTGTACACCTGGCATTAGGATATCCACTTACAGGGTTTAATGGCAATGTGTAAGGGTCAGGAAAACAAGCTGGAATTTCAGGTTTGTCATAAGCAACTCTTGTGTATTTAATGGAGGTCTTGAGCCAGATAACAATGGAAATTGATGATTCTGGGTGGAATGCAAAGTGTTAATGTAAATATGTAAATTAGGCAGCCTTTATTAAGGGAAGAAATGTAAGAGGTAGGCTATTGTTTTGCAGTGTCCTTATTGAATAATAACATTTATGCATTTGGTTCAGCAATCTGTTATAAAGTCTACAATATTTCAGTTTCTTCCTGGGCAATTAACATTATAGACCACACTCCAGCTTGCTTCCATAACATCATCTTCTGAAGACTTCAAAGAGACCATCAATTAACCTTAGAGTTTCAGGAATCTAGTTTTATTGGAAACTGCACCCAATGTCATGGCCGATGTTTAGTGTGATTATGATCTTTCGTTTGGTAACAGTACATCTAATCAATAGCGACAAAATAATTACTGTTAATGGCACATCCTCTAAGGGTGATTGGTGGACATTTACCAGTGTTGGTTTGTTGTGCATTAATTAGCTAATGATATTAATGTGAACTGTTCCAAAAATGTCTTGTTAAATGCATATACATCTCTAATCAGGTCGGCAAGAATGTAGACATAACACCAGTTATGTAGTTAAGCATAGGGGACCAATAAAAAGTGAAAGATTGGATGTTTGAGATTAATTATTGCATTTTAATTATGTCAGATAGAAATAATACTTTAATAAATTATTTGGTACTTTTGTCTGCAGTTTTTTTTTTAATCTTTCCTTCTAGAGTCCCTCCTTTCATCCCTTAAATATAGTACTGGAAAGTTGGGTGCTAAAATAGTTCAACTCTTTTTTTCTCAAAGACTGGCATCAAAAGGTAGCAACTTTTTTTTTGGTCATGCTCTTGTTTGTATTAATTTGCTATTACCATCGAGAATCTTTAATTTGTTTTTTAAACCAGTGTATCTGCTATAGATTGCATTTTATATTGATGAGTACAAAAAATTCTCATGTTTGAGTAGTCATTTTTTGTTTTAAATTTAATGCTGTCACTGTGTGCGTGGATGTGCTGAGAAATGCAGGATGTAGATTGTTTGAACCACTGAACTTTGTGCATTTATAGCAGCTCAAGGCAGAAGTGAGGAGGGGAGAAAGAGCAGATGGAAGAAAATGGTGAATGAGTAAAGCAGAATGATGGGAAAGCTCAACAAGGAACAGGCTGAGAATACAGAAGACAGATATGCAAGACATTGTAAAAATAGAATGAAGCTCAGTTGTATTTGATGTATCATTTGTGAAGATGGGATTTGTATTTTTTTTCGATTTTGTCAAATATTTTGGTCCTTTTGCCCCCTCTCCCCACAACTAATCAGCGTCATAAATTGTTTAACAGTCTGACGATGAATGGATGCTTGAACTTCACAGTGAATTTTCCATGAGAACTTTAACTGACATTGCAGTTAAATTATGGGCTTTCTAGTGCTTGATATAAAATAAATTATTGTATGGTCAGCGCCATAAGTCGGTGTGCATATAGTTTTTACATCTGAATGTAAATATGTAAATTAGATAGCCTATATTAAGGGAAGTGGACATTGGTGTTTCACGGGACGATTGTAATTTCTATGACACCAGCACCAAGACAGAGACATGCACACATGCGTATGCACACCACATGCACTCTTTTACTCAGGCTTTAAATGTGTCTGGAAACCTTAGTTTTGGTTTGGGAGAGAAATCTTTATGTCTACCCTCGCCATGAAAATTCGTCCTGGAATTAGAAGTTGCATGACTGAGAAAAGGAGAGTAAGGAAGCCATTGGGAGCATGGAGTTTTTTTTTGGACTGGTTCCAGGAGAATGAAAGAATCCACTTTAGGGACAATATAAAATATAACCATGATGGGGGATTTTCTGTTACTTTTGAAATGTAAAAACTTCAGAAGCTTTTTTGTTTATAGTCTGGATTTGAAGATACCTGAAACAATGTGCGGTCAATGATAATTTTAATTAGTTTAATACAGGAAATTCGTAAGATTTGAAACCTTGTTGTATATTGTCAGGTGTATGTTGTTTCTTGGCAATCTTGTTAATTATCTCAGTCATTGAAAATTCAAGTATCATTTTAAAATTTATCTATCTCTAATGGAACTGCAACAGTATTAGTCTGGATGGCCACACAAATGGGCTTTAAGACACATCTTAAAGGAGGAAAGTGAACTTAAGGGATAGAGAGATTTAGGGAGGGAAGTCCAGAGCTTAATGCCCAGGCAAATGAAGGCCACCAATAGCGCAGTGACTCAGATCCTGGTTGTTTAAGGGGCCTGAATTAAAATAAATCAAATATATCAATTAGGGTTGTGGGATGGTAGGCAATTCCAGAGATAGGGAGGGGTGAGTTATTTGCGAAAAGAAGAATGTTAATTTTAAAATCAAGTTATTTATTTGTTGAGAGCTGATATTAGCCAGTTATGAGGTTGATAAGAGAACGATTGTACTCGGTGCATGTTAGGATACAATAAAGCATTGTTTTGGATGATCTCAAGTATGTGGAGGATAGAATATAAGAGATCAACCAATTGTTCATGAGAGTAGTGAAGTCCAAAACTATGAAAAGCAAAGAAGCTGATTCAGCAGGGCCTGTTGTGGGAGAAATAGTTGATATTTCTTCACAAAAGAAGGGTCATACTGGATTCAAACTGTTAACTCTTTCTCTCACTACAGATGCTGTCACCGTTGTTGAGTTTCTCCAGTAATTTTTGTTTATTTTAAATCTCCAATATTTGCAATATTTTGCTTTTTGTTATGGTATCATTCCACACCAGTTGAGCTGTAACAAGATCAGATTTAGGCAGTATGCCAGACTTGTTATGGAATTGGTGGTCTTGGAGAAGGCCAACTACAGCAAACATTTTATTAACCCTCATCTATGGGACCAGGAGTGTGCCGCTTGATCAGATATTCCAGATAATCAAGAGGTCCACGTTAATCAATGTGAAAACACACACACTTAGTAATGGAAATATAATGCAGAGGGTAAACACATCACTGTTATACTTTATTTACAGCATAAATCACTTAAATAATAATTCAACTTTACCTTAAATAAAACTTACTGGCAGAGATTCTTCTCACTCGCACCCTCAGCTGACTACTCAGACATCATGGAGATCACGATATTACAGTAAACTTCTGGTATTTCAGGTATACATTTTTTGCCAGTTTATCAAAAGTGCTGGTTAATAAGGTGCCAGTTACGAAGGGTTCCTTCGCCACCGCAACTCATCCCTCACACCCCGTCCACGCAATAAGAACCAAAAAAGAATCCCCCTCGTCCTCACGTACCACCCCACCAACCTCCGGATCCAACGCATCATCCTCCGACACTTCCGCCATCTGCAATCCGACCCCACCACCAAAGACATCTTTCCCTCCCCACCTTTATCTGCTTTCCGGAGGGACAACTCTCTCCGTGACTCCCTTGTCCGCTCCACACTCCCCTCCAGCTCCACCACACCCGGCACTTTTCCCTGCAACCGCAGGAAGTGCTACACCTGCCCCCATACCTCCTCCCTCACCCCCATCCCAGGCCCCAAGAAGACTTTCCACATCAAGCAGATGTTCACCTGCACATCTGCCAATGTGGTATACTGCATCCGCTGTACCCGGTGTGGCCTCCTCTACATCGGGGAAACCAAGCGGAGGCTCAGGGACCGCTTTGCAGAACACCTACGCTCAGTTCGCAATAAACAACTGCACCTCCCAGTCGCAACTCCCCCTCCCATTCCTCAGACAACATGTCCATCCTGGGCCTCCTGCAGTGCCACAACAATGCCACCCGAAGGTTGCAGGAACAGCAACTCATATTCCGCTTGGGAACCCTGCAGCCCAATGGTATCAATGTGGATTTCACAAGCTTCAAAATCTCCCCTCCCCCTACCGCATCCCAAAACCAGTCCAGCTCGTCCCTGCCTCCCTAACCTG